ACGCTCCGGTCTGGACCAAAGCAGCACTTAAACGCACCTATCACCCACGGTCAAACACTTCTCAGCTAATCAGACGTGACACGCTCTCACTGTGTCCATCAAAAATCCATATGGGGCTTTCTCCAGGATAACTTCAGCATAGTTTAGAATATATTATGCATTTTTATTTGCGCTTGGAGCTAAATAAACAAAACGCCCAGGACATGTTTTGGTGATAAATAATAGATGCGCTGCTTGAAAAATTAAAGGTCTGATATGCATTATTTAATCTTTTTAAAATACTTTTGGGGCATCTTATTTTGCATTGTATAACCTAAAGAAACAGTACAGACCCTTTGCTCTTTTTTACTGGTTTAAAAAAAAGGAACTGCAACAACTGAATTGGATTATTAGTGTTAGATTATTAGTAGGGATGTAACAAGAATCAAAATATTGGGATGTCGTATCGTTAAAAGGCTCACAATAATATCCTGGGCCGTCGCAATATACTAAGTCTCAAGTCGCTTTGCTTAATTTCATTGTTTTGGTGCAGTAACAGTGAAAAAACAGTGAGAACTACAAAAACCAGGCATGTCCAAACTATGGCCCGTGGACCAAATGCGGCCCTCAGACAAATTTTTCTTCCAGGTGAATTGGCCCAAATGACCTTGCATCAATTAAAAATGAACTTTTTACTGCAAGTTTTTTGGAAATCTACCTTGATAAAGCCAATAGTTAATATTTAGTGTGTGGTTTTAAAGATCTGAGCATGAATAAAAGGTCATTCTAACGTGTTAAACATGCACATATTACAATTATTCACTGTATTGAGCACCAGTCTACGGCCCTCGATCGGCCCTCTGCTTCATCTGTGGTTAGATATGTGGCCCGTGATGAAAAAAGTTTGGACACCCCTGACATACACCATGATCCTTTGCTCTGTTTCAGTCCAGTCTACATGCTGAAATAACTGAAATTGTAATTATTTGGATTATAACAAGAGAAAAGTAGCATACTCACAATTTTGTTTTTTGTTTTTTTTGTGGTTTTTTTTGTTTTTACCTCCACGAAATACCGCAATAAATTAGTTATGGGTATCAATAAGAAGTTGCCAATACAATACGCATTTCGATGCAGTGCCCCTTCGGTTCGATATGATATCTTTCAAATCAATTCGATACGGTTCAATAAACAATAAATGCTAAATCATGGCTGTGATACTAAAAGTTTGTGCAAAGTTCATATGAAACAAACATTTTAAACAGTGAAAATGTCAAATGTGTCGCATAAACAAGTTTCCTTCCTCTGAACAAACAACAAAACTGTAGCCCTGTAACAAAATAATTTAGTAAAATATACGAAAAAATACTTTTGGTGATATATCGATACAGCAACCCACGATATTGATACTGTAACATCACATTAAACGATATGATGTATTGATACTTCAATATTTTTGCACACCTCTAATAATAATAGGCATTTAATTAATCAAATTTGAGTTATTCAGCACAATACATGTAATTCAGGAATCCCTTGGCGAGCTTTTTGAAAGAGGTTGGAGAGCTACTGGTAACTCCCGCACTACAGGCTGGAAACCCATGTTGTACAGGATCGTCCAAGGAGGGTTCAAGTAGGGCCCGGGAGAGTTCACTAGATTACTTAAACATGTATGAGTATGTATATAAAACCTCTTCAAGCATGTTTCAGGCATTTTATGAGAGAAGAATGTTGTTGTGTCCTTGGGCAAGGCAATCAGCCCACCTCACCTCTAGTGTCTGTGTGTGTGAATGTGTTAGTGAATGCGTGTGAATGGCAACCAGGTCAGGAATCAAAATACAATAGATGGTTCGCAAAAACCCTGGAAGTGCAAGTTCGGGCACCAGTCAATCAGCGAAGAAACATATATTCAGTGTTGGTAACGATTCATGAGATTGAGGATTTAAAGTTGAAATAAAGAGAATATTTGGTGAATTTTATCAAAGGGAAAGACATTATTGCCCTTTTTTTCTACGGAATTTGAGAAAAGCTTAATATACCAGTTTGCCCCGTTAACGTCACGACCAAATAGCAGCGATTGGTTAAATGATAAAAAGTACCCGCCTACCATCGAGCGAACAAATTCTCACAGTGCGAGTCAGACAGTTTCTACGAAGTGAAACCGGCTGATGAATCAGTCTATGCTTTGAGTGCCTTGAAGGTGGAAAAGCGCTGTATAAATATGTGCCAATTTATATTTACCATGGGCAGAAATCTCCAAAAAGTCTATTTTGCATAACACCCCCTTGTTAATGTAAAACTGTCCACTGAAATTTACGCATTTGGTCTTCTGATAATTTATGTTATTAGGTTCTTTTTCCACATCGGTAGTAACATGCACAGAAAACAAATGAAAGAACACGCTGTCCTTTATCTAAAATGCCGCTGTAACTGCCAGCGTACATACAAATACAGGATTAGTGGAACATTCACAAACAAAACAAAACTTTCCATAATGTAGGAAAACAAAGGCAAATGATTTTAAGAAACAGATATCAAACATGGCAGCTGTGGAGAGAAATACACTTTATTAGTTCCTGGATGTAAATGTTTGAAATCGTATCCCGGCATCTCTCCTCCTCTAATGAAATAAAGAGGTGCTTCAATGGGAAACGCTCTGAGTTTGCTCAAAGTTACTTCCAGGCCAGATCTGAAAATAGCTTCTGCTGCAGTTTTATCACAGTCCCACTGAAATCCATCTTCTGCCCTCCAAATCTCGTTTTGGTCAATGGTTGTTTGGAAAGTTGCAAGTTTTATTTCTGTTACTGCAAAGTTCTGAACTAAATATTGGTTGGATAGGATACAATTTATGGTTTGAGAATGGTTTTGTCCAGTCGCTTTTGCCAACTATTGAGTCAAAAAACTGTAACACTGTCTTATATTTACTTTTGGCTGGTGGTGGCTCAGTGGGTTAAGTCGGCAGATGGTGGATTCTTACTTTCTTTTTTTAGACCAAAGTTGGGCTTGTTTTCATACCTGACAGTTTCAGTTTCAGACTTCCTCAGAGCGGTCATGTGACGTTGCCGTCTGGTCATCTAATTTATACAATTTTAGTGTTGCCTTCCTACAGCACAACAGCGCCATCTGCAGTCCAGCTTATTTAGGAAACAGCAAAGACATGCACATGAGCAACAAAACGCGACTCAAATGATCAATTTCTGCACTAGATTATAAGGTGCAGTATCAATATTGTTGAATCCTCTCGTCTATTTTCATACATAAGGTGCACCGGATTATAAGGCGCATTAAGTGAAACAAACGGACGACACTTGAGACTGATACTTAGTCCAGGCGTCCACGATCCATTGGCAGATCGTGGCGTAATTCGCCCGACGTTGGTGAATGTGTATTATGAATGTGAATGTGGGTGGATAATTTAAGTGTAGATTTTATTTCCTATGAGGATGACTCAAATATACATTGAGTAATAATGTGTTTAATTCAGCTTTGCGCACATTTGTTTACGTTTTACAGAAACGAAATTTAAAACCACATGGCTAATTTGCATAAAGTACTGAAAAAACTCGCTCGCTCCTTGTGCGTTGATGAGGTTCAGCTTCTGTCGGACCAAAGGACATGACGCGAGGCTCCTGACCACGATAGCTGTAATGCTCTGACAATCCATCAAGTGGTGCAACTTCGTAGTTTACCAAAGTCGTACTAAAACATTTTGATAGATTTTTGAGCGACGTGTACCACATAAAATTGGTTTGAGGTCAGAAAGCACAACCAGAATTAATACATAAGGCGCACCGGATTATAAGGTGCACTGTCGACTTTTGAGAAAATGAAAGCATTTTAAGTGTGCCTTATAGTCTGAAAATACAGTATTTACGTAATAATAAAGATTGCAAATTGACATTGCTTTTGTAAAAATAGACAAAAAAATGCCATCATTATCAGTGATACAAAATAATATGTCTACTCATTTATTCTTCTTAAAAAGACAAATGTGACACTGAGGACAAACTAAGGCCCCATCAATACTAGTGCGTATTCGAGTTGTTTTCGTTGTGGATGCAGTGTTCGTCCACAATAATCCAATGGAAAACTGCTCCAGAGACGAAACAATCTGGTGTACATCTGAGCACAGATCTGATCCGGCACTGTGTGGACACCTAAAAACGCTGATACGCTGACGTAGAAGCTCTAGTTGCGTCCTTATTGGACCACGTCACTGTGACTTAAGTCTTCCTTATTCACTGGGTTCGTGACATCGATCATGTGACGTTATTGTGGAAAACAGTTTAAATAAACCATAGACAAACAGGAAACAGCGTAACTAGAACTACTTGCACAGGAACAGACTCACCCGGAAAGAACACATATATTGTAGAGTCGTGTCCTTTTTTTAAGTCTTTTTAAGTCTGACAGAAGCTGAACCACATCAGGGCACATGGAGCGAGTTAGTCCGATGAGGTTAATTTTGTCTTCCGATAATTTATGTTATTAGGTTCTTTTTTCAGACCAAGAGTTTGTTTTCATACCTGACAGTTTTGACTGGTCACGTGATGTGCTGAGGAAGAGCGCTAGTGAGCAGTCGAAACTGTCAGGTATGAAAACAAACTCTTGGTCTGAAAAAAGAACCTAATAACATAAACATGGAGCGAGCTGGGTTTTTTTGAGAGCTTAGTTTATGCAAATGAGCCGTGTGGTTTTAAGTTTTGTTTCTGTAAAGCGTAAACAAACATGCTCAAAAGTTGTGTGGATAGGGAAGAATTTGATTGAGACACACAAACAACGTGCCTGGATGCAAATTGTTTCTGATACAGTGAATCAATTCAGTGTAAACATAACCTGAGACGTGAGACTTTCATCCATGCAGGAAAAATCTCTATACTAAATATCTAAATATCAGATCATAGTGTGTTCCAGTCCTTTCAACGTCTGTATTCTCTCTTTAAAGTTACAGAATTATTTGTTTCTTTTCTTTTCGTAAAAACTTAATACCGGCTTTTTTTGTTTTGTTATTTTGCACGCAGGTTTTCCGGTGGCCCATTGCCAGTCAGCTGGACGAAAACGAGATGCTGGAGATCCAAGTCTACAATTACAGCAAAGTCTTTTCCAACCGGTAAGCCACCCTCCTCCTCTTCCTCCTCCGAGCCAAAGCTAACCTGATCCGCAACAAACTGTTTACTCCAATAAACACTGACACATCAGGCTTGGCTCTGCAACTCAGGAGCATCACCGCTTTTCCTTTGGAGCCTGTTTGTAAATTGAACGCATTTGGCAAGTAACAGATCGCGAGGAACCCGGGAACATGCCAGGGATTAGATTAAAGCGGTGGCCCTACTAGAGAAAGGAAACAACATCTTCAGTAATAGTCACATTAGTCACTGACGTTCCTTTTAAACAATCGAATCGAGAACACGGGGAGTTTCGCTGAAGGCAGTAGGAACACGGGGAGGCCGATCGAGCAAATACAGCATCACAGTTTACACGGTGTCCTGTAATTTCCTCCGACTGTGGAAGTGGTTTTCAAAGCCAAATATTTCCAATTAGTTCGAGTGTCTTCTGCTAATATATTTCACGCGTTTATTGACTTGGCAATCGAATTATCTCCGGCTGACACTCCCATATTACTGGACGGCGTTTACCACAGCAGCCGATGATTAATAGGTGTTTGCGTTGTGTCAAAGGCTGTAATTACAAGCCACCAAAATACCACTGAATACAAAACAGGGCAAGTTTGAACAGAACATAGTTTCATTTTTGATTGTCTCCGTGAAAATGTTGTCGCTTTGTCGAGATTGAATGTTCCGCAGCAGGGGTCTCCAGCCTTTTTCCTCCTGTGAGCAAAACAAAAATGCCAGAGAGCGACTAATTTTAGCCGTTGCTCAAAATTTAGTAAATATAAGAGCCATGGCGAGACGTAGATGAGGTACAGTTAGATTCTAGGGATGTAACAATAACCGAAATATCGTGATTAGGGCTGGGTATCATTAAGAAGTTGCCAATACGATACATACCTCTATACACAGGCCACGATACGATACGTGTCTCGATACAGTGCACTTTCGATTCGATATGATATATTTCAAATCGATTCGATACAGTTCAATAAATAATAAAGGCTAAATCATGGCTGTGATACTAAAAGTCTTTGTTAAACCACTTCTTGTGCAAAGTTCATATGAAACACAAACATTTGTATCCTCAAAACAGAGTCAAAATGTCAAATGTGTCGCATAAATGAGTTTCCTTTCACTCCACAAGCAACAAAACTGTAGCACTGTAACAAAATAATTTAGTAAAAATACTCTTGGCGATATATCAATACAGCAGCCCACGATATTGATACTGTATCATCACATTAAATGATACGATATATCGATATGCCGACCCTAATCGTGATATCGTATTGTTAAAAGTCTCACAATAATATCGTGGGATGTCACAATGATGATGATGATTTTATAATAGTATCAGACCTAGGGATGCACCGATCCAGCTTTTGCAGTTCGATTAACAATTACGATACTATAGCGTCAAAGTTGCATCATGTAACTTTTTGGTTTGGGGTCAGTCACCTTCTTGTTTCTGAGGAGATGTCATTGCTCTGCCTGGAATGTTCCACAGTATGACATTAAACAGCTCTACCTTACATTTAGTCGATTACAGGTGGTTTTAGCAACACCCCCCACCCCACCCATATAGTAGGGGTGTGCAAAAATATCAAAATATCGGTATATCGTATCGTTTAATGTGCCGATACAGTATCTATATCGAGGGCTGCTGTATCGATATATTGTCAAGAGTATTTTATGTATATTTTTACTAAATTTGTTTGTGTAAGAGCTACAGTTGTGTTGACATTTTCACTGTTTGGAGTAAAATGGATGTTTTTCACGTTCACTTTTCATGAGCTTAGTGGACTTATAGTATTAGAGCCGTCATTTAGTCTTTTTTACACTGCACCGTATGGAATCGATGTGAAATATATTGTATCGAACTGTACTGAATCGAAAGCGCACTGTATCGAAAAGCGTATCGTATCGTGGCCTATGTATCGAGATGTGTATCGTATTGGTAACTTCTTAATGATACCCAGCCCGACCACATAGTTCCTCTGCTCAATTTCATTTCTCTCCAGCGACTAGGTCAGGAATCGGAATACACTAGATGGTTTGTAAGATCTCCAGAAGTGCGAGTTCGGGCACCAGCCAATCAGCGAAGAGCCAAACATTCTGTGTTGGCAACGATTCCTGAGATCGAGGATTTAAAGCCGGAACAAAGAGAATGTTTGTTGAATTTTATCAAGGGGAAAGACGTTATTGCCCTTCTTCCTACGGGATTTGGGAAAAGCTTAATATACCAGTTAACCCCTTCAGCGGCGCATTGCATACGTCATGACCAAACAGCAGCAATTGGTTTAATACTCAAACTGAATGATTTGATTCTGTACCAAACTGCAGAAGTCATGTATAAAGCTAAAAATAAGCACTTACCAAAAAATCTTCAACTACTTTGTTGTGAAGGGGAAACAAACTATAACTTAAGAGGCGTTTTGAATTTTAAATTGCCTCAGGCTCGAACGACAAGAAAAAGTTTTTGTGTCTCTGTTTGTGGTGTGAAATTATGGAACAACTTGAAAATAGAATTAAAACTTTGTTCGAATATACATGTATTCAAAAGGGCAATTAAAAAATGAATTATTTCAAAATACTGTGCGGAAGAAATGAGTGCTTAGGGTATATGTGTGCATGTATATGTATGTGTATGTATATATGTGTGTATATATATATATATATATATATATATATATATATATATATATATATATATATATATATATATATATATATATATAGGTATGCATGGGTATGTAGGTATGTATATATTATATCTGTGTATATGATGTGTACTATATCTGTGTACATAATATACATATATTTGTTGTTGTCTGTTAGATTGTAATGCAATGGAGGTACTGTGCAATTATTGCTTATAATGTACAGGAAATGAGAAGTCTGTATTTGTTCTTCGTTAATTTGGGACTGTAGAAAAAAGGGGTGGGGTTAAATAAGTATTTACTTCCTCCCACTCCTTTTTCGGACACAAGGAAAATTCTGCGTAACATTTATTTTGCCTGTTATTATAGAATAGAAATAGTTACTTTTTGTGTTATATCTATGTATTTACGTTTTTGTCTTTTTTTATTATTTAGTTTTTTGTTTTTGTTTTTTAATTTATGTTCTATGTATTACTGTCCGAAATAAATAAACATAATAATAATAAATGAAAAAAGTACCCGCCTCCTGTTGAGCGAACTGTGAATCTCATATCCCGTGATTCATTTCAGTGCAGATCTTCAACATGAAGAGATGTTTTTTACTTGAATTCTTGGGATTATGTTGGAAAAGAATTCACACCATAATTTTGTCAAGGTGTTTTAAAAGCAAAAAAGTGTCCCATCTACAATTATATCAGCCAAAAGCTCCAAAATATCACAATAAATATCCTACCGTGAGATGCATATTGTTGCATTGTGTAACTTGTTGCTTTGTCTTGAATGATTCCCAGTATGGCATTAAACCTTTCTATCTTCATAGAGACCAAACCAGACAAAGTTACAGGTCAGATCTGTGGAGAGGCGACCCCACTCACAGTCAGAATGTTGTTTTTTTAGGTATTTTCAAGCTATAAAACCATCTGTATTTGAATTAAATGTAAAGTAAGAGTTACATAATACACCTTTAAGACGATATGAACATAAATACAGGTTCTTGAAACAGGTTTTCATTTCTCAGGCTAATCTCAAAGTTGTAATTTCAGTGTCAAGTACGTTCGGTCCTTGCAGAAAACCCCACATTATCCCGAGCAAATCAATGACGTTAATTACACGCTGCCAGATTACGCGCATCGAATCTAACCGTTTTCACCAGCCCGCGCGCTTTATCCTCGCTGTCTTCATGTTTACACTCCGCACGGCTCCCCTTAAGGCCGGCGTGTCCTTATCTGAAAACACGGAGGCGACGGAACAAAAGGAAAGAGGATTGTTAGTGTCCCGGTGAGTTCCTGCGGACACCGTGACAGCCCAACCGCAGCCCACACCGATCATTAGCCCGCTCCGCTCGAATGCGTGGGAGGTTCTTTACGCCGCAGTCCGTACACGGGCTTATCTGGGCCCGGACTCGCGTGGACAGTGGGCGGACAAAGGGGTGGACGGGGTTTTCTGGACGCTGAAGACTCCGGACTAAGTTGTGGGTGAAGGAGATGCGCAGTGAAAAGTTGGGTTGTTTCAGTATCGATGGTGGCGGAGAGGATTGTGCTGACACGACATATTTTAGTTCTGTTAAATAAAATGTGAAGTCTCAGCACAGTTTGGGAGTAATTGGTGAATTAATGATGCAAGAAAAATTCTACGGATAAGATCTGTTAAAGTAAAGAGGTTTCTGGAGCCAGGTGCGCTGGAGAGGTTACGTGCAATGCTTGTCAAAATCAAAAATAGAAAGACTGCCAATTTACAGCAACATTTTGGCAAGGGAAGCGCAAAAATGTTGAAATATCGATATATCTATGAATTGAAGGAACATCTGTCTGTGTCTCTGTGTGTTTTTCTGTTCGATGCATAACTCTCGAACCGCTCATCCGATCTCAGATTTGAAGGGTGTCATCCTAATGGGACGGGTGTGTGCAGTGCCAATTTTCATGTTGTTTGGACAAAAAATGCCAAATCTGGTCATACTAAATTTGATGATAAAGTATTGTTATCGTGGGCTGCTGTATCGATATATATTGTCAGTAGTATTTTTTGGTATATTTAGCCTTTTTTGTGTGTGTGTGTGATCGCTTATTTAGTGGAAGGTAACAGGAACATATTCACTGCTTTGATGATTAAAATAGATGTGTTTCATATTAATTTTGCACAAGTAGTGGTTTAACAAAGAAATATTGTTGCTAAAATGTATTTGGTTCTTAAAAATCACAGAATAACGTGCAATATATTGATTACTACGTGTATCGCCCTATCATAATCCAGTATGATAATAATGTATCATGAGTCAAGTATCGTGTATCGTATTGAATCGTGAGGGAGCCTGATTCCCAGACCGTGCACCGATCTAGCTT